CAGAAGGCTGCGGGGGTAAGGGGAAGGTCAGGTGCCAGGGGGTCAGACTGGGGCTAGAGGAAGGGTGGGCACAGGGGGGTGAGGGAAGGGGTGGGTGTCAGGGGTCAGAGAGGGTGGGGAGAGGGGCAGGTGCCAGGAGGGCTGAGGGGTGTAGGAAGGGCAAAAGCCAGGACAGCAGAGGAGGGTGAGGGGTGAGGTAGCCATCAGAGGGTGGGGGGTGATGGCAGTGGTAGGCACCAGGGAAGCAGATGGGGGTGAGGGGAGGGGTGGGAGACATGGCACAGAGGAGGGAAAAGGGGAGAGATGGATGCCAGGACATAGCAGGGGTGTGAAGTGATGGTTGGCTCCAGGATGCAGAGGATGTTTGGGGGAGAGGGGAAGGTGCCAGTAGGGCAGGGGGAGAAGGGACGGGTGAGTTCCAGCAGGGCAGAGGTGGGTGGAGGGCAGGGGCACGTGCCAAGGAGGCAAAGTGGGAGTAGAGGGGCAGGGGCCCAGGGGAGCAGAAAGGGAGTGAGAAGAGAGGGAGGGATGTTGGTGAGGGGTCAGAATAGATGCAGGGTCCCTCACAGGGGTTAGGGAAGGATAAGGGAGGGGCAAGAGCCAGACAGGGGTGAGGGAGAGGCAGGCCCCTGGGAATCTCTATTGCTTTCAGGCCATGTGTGGTTGGTTTCTCCTTCAGAGCAGGTCAGTGCTGTTCCCACACACACTGGGGGTGCAGCCCTGCCCCAGGGGGAGCAGCTGGGACTCTCCATGCTGGCGGGCCCCATGTGCACCACCTTCCAGAAAGGAAAACCACACAGCCAGCCCCTCCCCTCGCTGGGCCCAGCCCCACCCCCACGGGAGCAGTGGTCTGGGTTGGGCTCACTTGGGGGGCATTACAGTGGAAGATTCTGGGGGGGTATAAATGCACACTAATAGGCTGTTGCTAATGAGGCCAGGGCAGTGGGGAGGGGGCATTTCCCGTCTTCCTGCCCCCTCCATCTGGGAGAAGCTGCACCAGGGGCCAGTCCCAGTTCACACCCGCACAGCGCGTCTGCACTAGGGGTTTGCACCGGTGCAGCTACATCGGTGCAAGGAACCCCGGCAGACACGGCCTGAGACACTGCTGTGCCCGGGGCCGTAACCCCTCCCCTCACTGGGGTTATGGATCAATAATTACAGGGTCACTGGAGCAGGGGAGCTGGACTCTGGGCTCCCAGGTGGGGGCCCGACCCACTGGGCTGCAGAGTCGTTCTCACTCCCACGCTCTGGCCCAGTGCCCATGGCAGTGTTTAGACACAGGGGGATGTCACTCGGATCCCAGCGCTTTGAGCCCTCGTGGCATCACATCAGGGGATTGAACCTGGGGCTCCCAGCTGAGGGCCCAGCCACTGGGCTAAAGGCTAGAGGGGAAGCAGCAGCACCTTTTTCTCTTAATTGAAACTCAACAGCAAACTTGACATGGATTCGCGAAGTTTCTGTTGACCCGAAATATAATTTTGCAGCAAATAAACTATTTGTCCAAAACATTTCACCCAGCTCCACTGCAAACCTGTCTGAGCAACTTAGGAGCCCGAATCCCAGTGACTTGCAGTGAGTGACTGTCAACATCCCCAGAAACGCACAGTGACAGGCAGGCCAGGTTCAGGACACTCCAGAGCTGCTGTTTAATTTGCCCTTTGCAGACAAATGCCCCGTGGGCCCGTGATCTCACCCCCACAAATCAGGCTGAAAATTGAGACTTGGCTCGAGCCCGAACTCTCTGCCCAGAGCCATTTGTGCCATGGATGCTGTGAGTGGCACGGACCCTCTGCAGCTGCACCTGGGCATCTCCCAGAGCAGATAATGGTCCCAGAGACCGTCTCAGAGCCCGGGGCTCAGGTGTCTCCATCTAACGACTGCGCCAGCCACCCCCATCGCTCTCATTAACCAGCCCTGGGTCAGACACGCTGGCAACTTTCACACCCAGACTCTGGAGACACTTTGGGTCCTTCTATAGGGTGACCAGATGTCCCGATTTTATAGGGACAGTCCCGATATTTGCGTCTTTTTCTTTTATAGGCTCCTATTACCCCCACCCCGCCCTCATTTTTCACACTTGCTGTCTGGTCACCCTATTCTACACAGCCTGCAGAAGTGAGTCTTGGAACGGGCTGGACAGATTCAGGCTTGCGGGGCTCCCTCTTTGGAATTAAAAATAGCCGCATAGACGTTCAGGCTCAGACTGGAGCTCAGGCTCTGAAGCCCAGGATGGAGCCGGGTCTGCCCCTCACAGCGCAAGCGGGGACATTGTCTGTGTCCACGTCCCCTTCACCCCATTCCTGGGATGGGGAACAGCAGCTCCACGGCCCCTCCCTTTACCCCCGGGACAGGGGAGTGAGAGCCCTCAGCCTCCTGGGCATTGGGGCCTCCCAGCACAGGTTCCTGGGTGAGCGTGAAAGTGTCTCCACCCAGAAAGCTCTGTGCACCCGGCAACTACACAGATGTGCCCGTGGATCAGGATCCGGGATGGTCCTCTCCCCAGGAGTGATGGAACCTCTCTAAAAGTAGAGGGGTAACCGGTGCCCAAACCATGGCCCCACCCTCTCATGCCGGCCCTTTCTCCCCAATCTCCTGCCCCCGCACCACCCCTTCTCCCTGACCCAAGCCCCCACCCTCACACCACCTCTTCCCCCCACCACCCTGACCTCCTGGTCGCTCCTCTCAGCCCCTTCCCCCCTCGTTGCTCACCCTTACAGCTGGTAAAAAAGTGGGAGGGAATAGCCCTCCCATTGGTAAAAGTGATTGGCCATGGCCCCTGGCCCCACTCTTCCAGTGCCCCTTACTCACCCCCAACCCCAGGAGGAGAGGGGGCTTGGGGCAGTGTCAGTGAGTTCAGTGCTGGGGGTACGAGTGGGGTTTTACACCCCTCCTGCTGGAACTCTGTGTATCAAGGGTACGAGGACGTCACAGCAGGCGTATGAGCCCCCCACTGTCCTGCCAACATGGCTCAGCCCTGACACCTGCTGGAACCTCTCCCTGGGGAGGAATTGTCCCTGGGGCCCATTCAGGCCTTGGCCTCCCTGCGAAGGTGGCCGATGAGGCTGCCGTTAATGTGAGTTACGATGTGAGCTCCTGTCCACTGGGAACCGGACTCTCAGCCTGGGCTGAGATCAGTGACTGGGGAGTGAAAGGCCCCAGCTGCAGGGCCAGCTCCAGGGTTTTTGCCGCCCCAAGCAGCCAGAAAAAAAGCTGCGATCGCAATCTGTGGCACTTCCGCCGCGACTCTACCGTTGCCGCTTCTTCAGCGGCAATTCAGTGGCAGGTCCTTCCCCCCGAGAGTGAGTGAAGGACCCACCGCTGAATTGCCACCGAAGAGCCGGACGTGCCGCCCCCTTCCATGTGCCGCCCCAACCACCAGCTTGCTACGTGGGTGCCTGGAGCCGGCCCTGCCCAGCTGCCCTCACTGCCCCCCTGAGCCAGCCCAGCAACACCAGCCATTCAGTGCAATAACAGCGATGCTCACACTTGGCAGGTGCCAGTGGGATTAAGAGGGTTGAGCAGAAGGGCTCACAGGGAGGGCAGA